GACATTAAATTACAATACTCCTAACCATTGGTTATGACGATTGTGATCGAGTATAAATAAGACTTATCGTTCTCATTTTGTGACAAACGAGAACACTTCAAATTTCATTAGCAACACAAGTTTGGTTCTCCAAAATATCTTCTCCTCTTAAGTTTTGTTCAAAAATATTTGGACACTGATAGAATGGTTGAAGAGTATCCAATATTAAATTGAAAAATAAACCCTTTAAAAACGCATCAACCTTGTAATATATTGTACAATTGTTATATTCAAGAAAATTATGAAAAGTGGAGAATCATTTTGGACCATACATTAATAAGTTTAAGAAATATTATTTTGGATTAGTAAATGTTAGAGAAAGAATGCTCAAGATCAATCCACTGATCAATTTAAAAAATTAACAATTCAGTAATTCTAATGCCCTATTCGCATCTTTACCATCGCAATCTTAGCATCGCATAGATGTTAAATATACTTTTTTTTCTTTTTCGAAACTATCGACAATAGTATCATAATACCCAAAATTATATGAGTGGCGCATCTTTACCATCGCAATCTTAGCATCGCGTAGATGTTAAATATACTTTTTTTTCTTTTTCGAAATTATCGACAATAGGATCATAATTCCCAAAATTAGAATGAGTGGCCGTCTTTGTAAGGAGATCCCAATCATTTATTTATGAAGACAAACAAATTTATATTTCGCCGAGGTGGGGAAAGTATTCTAAAATAGGACCAATTATTGCCTAAAAGTCCTATATTTCTAGCGCAAATTATGATAAGACTAGTACTACATTGGTGCGATTCACGGGGTATTTTTCATCAAAGCAAATATTTTATTACAAAAAAATCCTCAAATTACAAAGATCAAAAATTTATTATCAATGATAAATAAATTTATATAAAAAAATATAGGTATAGATAGATAATAAATTGAAATAGTAGATGAATAATATTTGAAATACTTATCCGACTTAAATAATATCTTCAAAGTAAATGTGTATATTGAACATTACTACTCAAACGCTAAAAAGAAAATTTGGACTGATTTTATGTCGCATGCTTTTTAACTTATTGGCCAAAAATATTACTGATGTTCGTTACTTGATTGGCACAAAGATTAGTTACAACAACAACCCACTACCAATTCTTTTTACCTATACATCTACCACACCAAATGTGTCTTAATTAAAACTTGCAGCAGCAAGCTAAAATGCTTGTTAATGCAATTATGTAGAGAAAATGGACTAAGTTTTGCAAAACAAGGCAAAAACCACTTGTGTTTAAGTGATGTCCTAAGTAGAAAATAAAAATAGCTTCATACTCTACACATATCAAATTACGAACAAAAACGATGAACGGAACCATTTTACGTAGTAGTTTGCTTCTAAGGGAACTTACTGAGTCGGTGGATAGCATTTATTGACGAGTAAGGTTTTGAAGGTTCTGTTTTATCGTGCTATATTTGTTTCCTATTTCTGTTGGTTATGTGGGGTTTTGAGTTGATTGAGAGATGTTAGAAATGGCTATGAATTTAATTATAAATAACCTTAGCCTAGCTCTCATAACTCACAAGTGTAACATATATCAAATCATTAGCCCTCTTCTACATATCTAAATACACAGAGAAAACCAACATAAAAACAAATGAAAATGGTGCATGTCTTTTCCGCCTCCAATATTATTAAGTTTATGTTTATAATCTTGGCGTCAATTGAACAACACGCGGTCGTAAAATCCAATCCGTTATGCCCTTCGGAGTATCCAAAGATTGGAGTACACGCTTCCCGAGGTAAAAAATGGGCGCAATTCCCGAGGCGTGGGGGGGGGGCACACTTCCCGATGCAATCTCGCGGCACACTTCCCGGTGTGCGCGCGCGACATGCTTCCCAAGGCGCGCGCGGGGTACACTTCCCGATGCGCTCGCGGGGCACGCTTCCCGAGGCGGGGAAAAAAAAAAGAAAAACAAACAAACAAAAAAGCTCGACAACGACTAACGGAACACTACAACATTGATATACTCTCAACTTGATCCGGCGCCAATAGCGCAACGCACGGCCCGACATCTCCAACCGCGCTACGTGTGCATGATCTTTCTCCCCGGGCGCTCCTCCTCCGCGGAGCCAACCCAATAGGCTTACAATTTCTTTACCTACTGGGCCACGAGCTCAATATTGAAGACCACTATTACCGAGGCCCAATCACCTTCAAATAAGGTTTTGGCCCGACAATCATTACTGGGTAATGATATGCCTAATTGGGCCAACCCAATGGACTTACAATTTCTTTACCTACTGGGCCACGAGCCCAATATTGAAGACCACTATTGTCGAGGCCCAATCACCTTCAAACAAGGTTTTGGCCCGACAATCTCAACTAATTAAATTTCAGCCGAATCAATGAGGTATAAATAAATGTTGAACTCATTCCTTAAGGTACATCCTATTATCTGAGCAAAATACTACAACATGTATTATCTGGACCATTTCTACTATCCGCACGTCTGACTTGAGCGTCAGAGGGGTTTCTGCCTGATCAACTCTCGACTTAGTTTACGTGTTCTATGATCGCATGTATCTCAAGGTCATCAAGCTCGTGAGCCAGTGATCCACTCTGCTCTTCCAGCTCATCCTACTTCAACTCTCTAAGGTGATCTAATTCTAGCATCATCAGTCGCCTACAAAATTAATGTGTGTTTGTACTTTGTGAGATGTTTGTTGCTATGTGGCTTATTATGTTTTGTAATGTTAATTTTTAGTATGTAGATTTAGGAAATAATAAATGAATAAGCTTGAGGATAAATTACATCCAAACCTCTGATGTATGCTAAAATAACTTTAAGGTCCTTGTGGTATCGATAATTACAATTATCCCCTTGTAACATTGTTAGAAACCCTAACGGAATACTGCATTGAATAAGTTATTCCTTTAGGGTTCTACTAAACTATTAGTTTGAGGCAGTCGCGGAGACAACATAGAGCTAGAGGCAGTGGCGAGTCCAGAAATTTATTACATGGTGGACTTAAATTTCCAGAGGTTCGGGGGTATCGCTCTGAAAAAAACATTTAGGACTTTTTTTGTGACAAAATTAGAAAATAGGAAAAGAAAAAAAACAAAATAGAGTTTTTTGCATTAATTTAAATTTTGGGTAGGTTAATTAATAATAATTGGAGTTTTTTTTTTTTTTTTTGCATTAATTTGAATTTTGGGTGGGCTAATTGATAAAAACTGGGTGGACTTAATAGATATTTTGGTATAATATAGTAGAAAGTATATAAATTGATGGTAGGCTTGAGTCCACTCTGCCAAGGTTTTTACTCGCTCCTGGCTATTATGAGTGATATGGCTTCCCCAACATTTATTAAATGCTTATTATTTTATATAAGATTTATAAATTTTCGTCTATTATAGTATTAACGGACCGTGGAAAACCAATAATTAGCAACATCAGAGGGATCTTAAAGTTATTTTAGCATTTTTCACCTGTACCCTAAACTTTAAATATTACATTCCGAATACCAAGTGTTTTTTTGTTTTTTTCAGTTTTCTTTAATAGGACTCTTTGAAATATTGCATGTAACTCTTTATAATGGAAACTTATCTTTTGTTTAATGAATCTGGCTACAGTTCCACAATGTTGAAATTTTGACATTGTTTCCATTAGTCCATATTCACTCCTAGAGTTGAGATTGAGTTGGATTGGTTGATTATTGACCTAAAAACTAACCCATCTGACGAACCAATTTTACTTAAACTTGAAAACTATTACCCGACCCAATCTATGTGGGTCGGTTGATGTTGCTTAAATTTGAAAGCTATTGGCAGACCAAATATTGATGGTTGACAACCGAATATTTGGTTTGGAAATGGGGGGTTGGTTGATGGATATACCCGCCACCTAGTTCATTTGAAAAAAAAAAAATTAGAGTTAAAATATGCACACTCTACATAGTGTCACCGCATTATCATCATTTATCAGTTCAAATTAATTTTAAACATGCACATTATGTCATAATGTCACAATTACTCACCAGTTCATAACAATTAAAAAATAAATCAATAAAAACTACTTCAAAGTTCAAACTTCAGTCTAATGCTAATATTATTTTAAAAAAACACCCGTAATTTAGAAATCAAAATAATATTTTAATAAAATTTTACGAATATAGTTAGTTGACCGATAATTATTGGTAATCAATTTTTGATGATATTAGAAATCATCAATCTAACCATTATAAATGAGTTGGTTGAAATTATCGACCCATTCTGATGGATTGGTTAAAAAGTTATCATCTGTCTGAAAATATGGTCATGATTTTGGTTTTTTAAGATTAATTTATATTTTATATATATAATTTAAGTGAATGGACGAATTTACCCCCGCAAATCTCACGTGTAACGTACATGATTTAACATTACATCTAAAATTGTCAGAAAATTTAGTTTAGGGGCACCATGCAACGAATTAACGAGTTTAGGTAAACCCGTGTAAATATTTTTTGTTTGGGGGGCAAAGTGCAAAACGAACCTTAGTTTAGGGGGCAAACTGATTTTTACCCTTAAAAATATGGGCAAATTACGGCCACTCCTCTGAGTTATGGTGAAATTACAAAAGCCCCCTCATGTTTGGGTAATTGCAGTCACCCCCTCAACTACGTATTATCTTACGAAAAAACCCCTCCAGAGGTAAATTTAGGGATGTTAAATCGGTAAACCGAACCGAAATTTCGGTACGCCAACATTTCATACCGTTTACCGAATTGAATATACGATTTGGTTCGGTAAATAACCGAATTACGTAAATTTTATGTAAAAATATTTGAAAGGGGTGACTGCAATTACCCAAACAAGAGGGTTTTTTTTCGTAATTTGGCCATACCTCAGGGGTTCACGTAATTTGCCCTAATATGAGAGGTTGTCTAATAATTAAACCCTAGTTCAGGGTTTTTTTTGATAATTTAGCCTAGTTATTATGAAGCCGTACCGCACCGTCTTCTCTCCCGACCAATTATCCTCGGATTTTCTCTCCGGCGGTCTCCGCTCTCCCATGAAAGCCAACGGCGAACATCTCAAAACATCGGAGCTGAAGATGAAGCCTATCTCACCGGGACCTGCAACTCAATTTCACACAGCAACTTAAAACATGTCGAAAACGATGATAAACAGAAACCGGCATTTCATCAAACACCTTGCGGGCACAATGCGTTTTTCTTCCTCCCTCTCGTCGTCTCAAGTTCCTTCTCTTACAACCACAACCAGAAACCCACACCAATTCTACACATCACTCTTCTGCACCCTCATCCACCTCTTCCTCAGGTGCCGCCGCCTCTCCAGCGCCGCAGCCGCTTTCTCCGCCATGAGAGATTTCAAATACACACCGGAATTAGCCACTTGGAACAGCCTCCTGCACCACTTCAACTCTGCGGGGTTGATCCATCAGGTAATGGTTATCTATCAAGAAATGATTTTTTCCGGCGTGGGACTCAATGTAGCTACCAAGAACATAGTCGTTCACTCCCTTTCAAAAGTTGGAGAATTCGATAGGGCGCTTGATTTGTTACGAGATAACAATGATTACGAATTCATGAGTGATGGAGTTACTTATAATACTGTAATTTGGGGGTTTTGTAAATATGGGCATGTCGAAATCGGGGCTCGGTTTGGTGTCGGAGATGATCAGAGAGGTGTAGATTGTGATAGTTTTACTTGTAATATATTAACAAAAGGATTCTGCGAAAAGGTTCGTTGGAAAATGCTAAATCGGTTATGGAAACGTTT